CACGACGCACAACGGACTATGCTAGCGGAAAGTGCAACGATTGAATTATTGAATGCCTTCTTTGAAAGACATTCAATCAAAGAAATATTTAAAATCTCCCAAAAAGATACCCGACACAAAGCAGGAGAGGTCAGATGTCAAATATCGGCAAGCAACTCTCGACGCTCAAGGACGCTCTTTCATCTTATTAGGCCAGTCATGGGACCATGATCACCTTAGGACGCTCTTTGCCCTCATGGTGGTACCACGAGGGCTATGGAAATACGAACAAGTTACGGAGGTTACACTCTGTACGTGAGCGAACAGTTTGAAGATACCTGAATGGGTGAATCGGTTGAGTCGCCGTTTCGGTGGAACGTCCAGCGATATCTGCCGCTTTTCACGTCCTGCACGATGAGCCCAGTATATCGAACCGGGCCGGATGCATTACCAGTGCAGCGAACCGGTCCGATTAGTTAGGACCTTAACGGGACGTGAGCGCCCGGTCACCAACCACGCACCAGGCCGGGAAGCCTCTTTCCGTCGCCAATTTTCCTGTCCAGCACAAGTCTATGACATTGGCAGAGCTAGTGTCGAGCTGTTTTTATACCGGACTGTTCGAAAAAAAACGTTTTCCCGTGAACGCTTTCCTTGCAATCTCGAATAAGACCTAGGGTCACTCTCCCTTCCCCTGCTTTCAGTCCAGAGCTGTGGCACGCGAGTGGGTGTGGCCAGCAGCGCCGAAGGCCGCCTCTTTCGGCAGCTGACCCAGTTGGGCGTCTCATGGGAGACAATTATCGCACGCCCCGGGCGTCACAGCAGGGCGGGTGCACGACTTATGGCACGGTCTCACTGGGCACGCGATCGGAATTAGAGCGGTAGATACCAAGGAGCTGATGGAGTGCACTGGTTCAAATGCCACCCGTGGAGATCATACTGGGGAGGCAGCTCAGGTGACAGCGGCGCCGGTCGTGATGAGCAGGACATGGCTGTCCTCGGACTCCTTGGATACGCTGTCCCATTGTTCGCTGCAGACGGGGGCGCGTTTTCTAATTAAAAGCCAGCTCGCACGGCGCCGTGCGTGCCAGCGACGACGTGCGGTGGGCGGTGCCGTCGCTCCGGAGTGTCAGCGCCGGGCCCCCCGAGGCCACGGCTCCAGCGGGTCGCCCTTCCCGCAGCGTCCGACTCGGACCCGTGACGTGGAGGGGTCGCCTGGCAGGGGCCCTGCTCATGATTGGTGTCTTCCTCGGGCGCATTAGTACTATCGTGTCCTGGACGCCAGCACCTCACTCTCCAGCCGCTGACGCTGCTGGCAGCGACCACTAACCGTGGATTGCCGAGGACTACTGAACGTCTGGGAACCACTGACAGCGCTGCTTTCAGGCGGCACCTGAGACACTGCCAGAATCACAGATCGTGGATATGTTTCATCTAGCCAAAGCCATAGCCACTGCTGGAGTAACAGCGCTGACCTGTACTGGCAACTGGTGTCGCGCCCCTCACGACACTCTTCGGGGTCAGGTGGCTTGGCCACAGTACACTTCCACTGAAAACAAGAACGACGGCCTGACCCTGGCCCCGCTCATGACGAGGCCTGAAGGCGAGGCGTGGTGCTCTGTGACGAAGCGTCTCTTAGCTTCCAAGCGTTGTATGCCGAGGCGTCCCCTGATTACAAGCGCTCTATGATGAGGCGTCCCTTGATTCCCAGCGCTGTATGACGAGGCGCCTCCTGATAACAAGCGCTTTATAACGAGGTGTCTCTTGATTACAAACGCCCTATGACGAGTCGCCCCTTGCTTCCAAGCGCTGTGCGACGAGGCGTCCCTTGAGTCACACTCATTCCACATTTGCTCCGCGTCCTTTACCAACTTGTCGATGCTTCATCTGACAGATACAGACACGGTTTCGCACGTGTTTCAGCCTCCATTCTGGGTTGGTTGCGGTGTGTTTTGACCTTCCGCGATTATAAACCTACAAGTTTGGTTGACATGAGGTGTACGATGTACTATGAATCTGAGCGTGTTATGGACTGATATCTGGCCATCTTTGAATGATTGCTTATAACGGGCTTAGCGACGCTTGAACGACTCCTTTACCAGAAACCTCGTTACCTGGCTTTGCATGCGTTCGCCCTTGATACTGGATTTGTTCCATTGTGTTTAGACCTGCTTTGTTAATAAACCGCTTTTAGGCGACATGGTGTTTACCATGACGCTGAGTGTGTTATAGCTTGACACCCGGCCCCTTTTCTTTCGGTGATTGCTGAACCCAGCCGTGCATACGCGCCACGCTACAAAGAGGGTCCGGCGCGCGCCGCAGGAGAAGTAGGGACTTCCTGCACTTGTGAGTGGACGTGCGGTTACATGTTGTGAAAGAGGTGTTGCAGCATGCACAGCGCGATCCACAGACATCACCACATCGCGGTTGTTCGCACGTGTGATGGGAACCAGGTTATGAAATGTCAAGCGCTGCTGGCCTTCTCTTCGGCATGTGTTAGTGCTTTGTTCAGAACAGAGAGCCACGAGACAGCCCTCGTCAAGCGCGAGATGGTGAGCGGGACTGCCGGTGGCCAGTGCTGCCGATAGCCTCTGACGCTGCCGTTCCTCTGTGCACGGGTGCGTTCCAAGCGTGCTGGCACGCCAAGCTAAACAGGCGCAGCATGCGGCTCTCGAGCGCACTGGACACCGCCCAGAAGTCGCCACGCGGAGTGAGCTCCGGTTTACAAGTCCCGCCACTAGCGCAGCAAACCCAGGAAACCGAGCTCACCGCTTCAGTGGCACCCTACACCAGCCATTCGGGGTTAATGCAGCCCGCAAGTCTGTCCAACATCACCCGTGCTAAAGGGCTGTGCTTTGTGCGTACGTACATACAAACAGAGGAGAGACAGGCCGGAGCCAAGCCTCTGGCTGACCGCTTACCACGCCTTCGGCCCGAGGCCCAAGGCCGGGAATGTCCCTTCCCGGCACAGGTGGCTGGCGGTCGGGACAAGTCATCAGGTCAGGTCAACGACCCGCCCTCGGCGACTCGCCTGGCGCCGGCTCACCACCGCGGAGGGGCTGAGGTTTGTGTGCGGCGCCAGCTTTGTGAGGGGACTCGTGGAGGCGAACGCAGGACGCCCGAGCATGCACCGTTACATCAACTGCAGAGAGTAAGTTGTAGTGGAACACTGGGCTGACGGGAGGAGAGGAGAAGACCGATGACGCACGGGAGGGCCGTGATGACGGTTATCAAAGACGGGGACGCAGCAATGATGCAAGGTGAGACGAACCAGCCAGATCTGCACGGACGGTCTTCGCGTGCCTCGTCAAAACACTTTACCCAGCGGCAAGGATGTCGCCGACAAGTTACGGACCCGTGACCAAACCTTAGCACAGTCCCAAACAGAGTCTGCTGTACGGGCATGGACACTGGCGAACAATGCATGCGGTAAGCCACGACGGATACGAGAAAAGCGCTTGCAGCAGCCGGCTGTACAAAACGTATGCATGTTTAACAGTATGTTATCTCTGAGAATTACTTTAAAAATGCTCTCGGGCTGTTCAAAACCCGTCGTATGCCAATCGCTTCACCGGCAGGAGCACCTGAGTACCTGGCACCTCGCCATGCTACGGCAGCCATGGATCCGACGCCCCCATACTGGACCTCGCTCGCAGCCGGCCGCGGCCCGTTGGCATCGCTCTGACCATGTGCCACCAGCGGTTGACCGCCGGCCCGTTTGCGAGCTGGCACCTACCGTCGCTAGCGAGGTGTAGTTCCACGTGACCGGGTGTCGGCCCTCGCAGCGCACTCGCAGGGTGTCGCCGGGGCCGAGCACGACACGGCTGGCGGGCGGCATCAGGCGCGGAGGGTGGTACCGCACCAGCTGCAGCGAGCCTGTCGGGGCAGACAGCCTGGTCAGAAGGGGCGACAGGGGCCTGGCATCAGGCGCGGCGTATGGTACCGCACCAGCTGCAGCGAGCCTGTCGGGGCAGACAGCCTGGTCAGAAGGGGCGACAGGGGCCTGGCATCAGGCGCGGCGTATGGTACCGCACCAGCTGCGGCGAGCCTGTCGGGGCAGACAGCCTGGTCAGAAGGGGCGACAGGGGCCTGGCATCAGGCGCGGCGTATGGTACCGCACCAGCTGCGGCGAGCCTGTCGGGGCAGACAGCCTGGTCAGAAGGGGCGACAGGGGTCTGGCATCAGGCGCGGCGGATGGTACCGCACCAGCTGCAGCGAGCCTGTCGGGGCAGACAGGCTGGTCAGAAGGGGCGACAGGGGCCTGGCATCAGGCGCGGCGGATGGTACCGCACCAGCTGCAGCGAGCCTGTCGGGGCAGACAGGCTGGTCAGAAGGGGCGACAGGGGCCTGGCATCAGGCGCGGCGGATGGTACCGCACCAGCTGCAGCGAGCCTGTCGGGGCAGACAGGCTGGTCAGAACAGGGGTCTGGCATCAGGCGCGGCGGATGGTACCGCACCAGCTGCGGCGAGCCTGTCGGTGCAGACAGCCTGGTCAGAAGGGGCGACAGGGGCCTGGCATCAGGCGCGGCGTATGGTACCGCACCAGCTGCGGCGAGCCTGTCGGGGCAGACAGCCTGGTCAGAAGGGGCGACAGGGGCCTGGAGACGCGGCAGTCGACAACACTGGACTGGCGATGCAGGCCGAGGTCAAGTCAACCGCGTGGGCGTGGCGGTGTCACAGTGCAGGCCGACCATGTGGACCTTTGAACGTTCTTTGGTCCCTGCCCAGAGTGCGGCCCTCCCAGGTCGGCCACTGCCTCCCTCCCAGGATCGGGTCGGCTGCAGTGGCCGGAAGTCGGGCGCCCGCTGCGGGCGAGTTCATCCATGTCGTCGCGGGGAGGCAGTGGTGGGCCAACGGAAGCTGATACGCCCCAACGGCCGCGTCTGAGGCGTACACGTCTGATGACATCATGGCAGCGGGGCAAGATAAGTGGACCTTGTCATCCGCCGCCGCCCACCATTGGGCCACTTTTGCTTGCTTTTCAGCGTTCGGGTGCAGGGGCGGATCCAAAAAGGGGCTATTGGGGGGGGGGGGGGGAAGAGAGGGCAAATTAAGCAAATGCACTCCCCGAGGAAAAACGCACGTGAGAGAAATTATGTTCCTTAAATTATCATTTACACGGCCACATTCAAGCTGCCAAAGTGTTTGCTGCCTCGCTAACATATTGTCAAGCCGTTGCACAATGGAAAACATCGTGCTACTAACCGATTTTATTGTCAAGTCGTTGCACAATGGAAAACATCGTGCTACTAACCGATTTTATTGTCAAGTCGTTGCACAATGGAAAACATCGTGCTACTAACCGATTTTCAGTCAAAAGTAAAATCTCGATATTACAGCTTCGTAACTATGCTTCACTTGGAAACGTAAACAGAAGACTCGATGGTTTCGCTCGCTCTCGTCTTCAACATAATCGTACTAATGCACAGTGGTTCCAAAATAAAAGAATGGCATGACATTAAAAACGGCTTTAAAGCTGCAGCATGTTTCAACTATATTGGTGTAGCTGCACATCCAGATGCTGCGTCGCATCGAAAAAATCAGTAAACTACAAGATTTCTGAGTTCTCCTGCTTAAAGGAGCTATCAAAAGAAATATTCCAGCTGATAGTTTTGAACTTATTTCAAACAGCGTACCTCAGGACGGCGAATCATGAGCATTTACATAAAAAGTTCAGTGATTGCGTCGTCACATTGCGGGTTCCCCCGCTCCGTCACGACGTCAGCTGGGCGTCCGTGCCGATGTGGCCGTGCTAGCCGTGCCGCTGTGGCCGTGCTAGCCGTGGCGTTGTGGCCGCGCAAGCCGTGCCGTTGTGGCCGTGCCAGCCGTGCCGCTGTGGCCGTGCTAGTCGTGCCGCTGTGGCCGTGCAAGCCGTGCCGTTGTGGCCGTGCCAGCCGTGCCGCTATGGCCGTGCCAGCCGTGCCGCTGTGGCCGTGCCAGCCGTGCCGCTGTGGCCGTGCTAGCCGTGCCCTTGTGGCCGTGCCAGTCGTGCCGTTGTGGCCGTGCTAGCCGTGCCGTTGTGGCCGTGCTAGCCGTACCGTTGTGGCCGTGCTAGTTGCGCCGTTGTGGCCGTGCCAGCCGTGCCGTTGTGGCCGTGCTAGTTGCGCCGTTGTGGCCGTGCCAGCCGTGCCGTTGTGGCCGCGCTACATATCCAGGTGTGGTGGGTGTGCATTCACTGCACAACGGGGTCGCCCTTTACATGCCACAGGGGAACTCGGGTAACAAGGAAGCAAAGATCCAGTGCATCAGTGAGCAAGTTGTCTTGGTGGCACGACACGGGTAGAAGGTAGGATACTTTTCGGACCGGTGACTCGCATGCCCGTCTGCCGTGTTGATCCGCAAGTATGTATAAGGTAATGCCACTTGATATATCAGAAGTACGTTTCGGCCGCGCGAGATTACAATTCCATGGATTCTGCTTGCAAAATAGCTCTTCGAAGTTACTGAAAGTGTCAAAAAGCCAGCTGAAACCAGCTATTATACAGCTGAAAGCTTGATAATATTTTTGGACGCCGAAGAGAAGCGCAGTTATCCGCTGATGAGCTGAGACCAAGCCTCTGCACACAAGCCAGGCAAGCCCTACTGAGGACGGGAGGTGAACAGCGGCCACGCCGACTGATCTGATCATAACGTGTGGCATGCAGCAAATGCACGGCGCGAGGAATGCATATGCTTTCATTTAGTGTGCATGTTTTCAGAGATGACCATCACATCCCTTCATCACCGACAGATGATGCCGCAGAAGATGACCAGTGGCGAAAAATAAACGTGGACCGAATGTGTCGTTTCGTCTGCAAGAAATTCGTCAAGGTCACTTGAGGTCACAGACCACCTCTGACTAACTGATGTTTGAGACTGTGTCATATCTACGGTGGTTTAGGGCGTTCCCTCTGCACGTCAAGTGCAGAGTTTGATTGTTTTGTTCGACAAGCGTACTTCAATGCCATACATTCAAAAACTTTCGTGCTACTCACTCCTGCCATCATGTTTGGCCGACCTGGTCTGAACAATTCACCGGAAGTGATGTATCGCTGAATTTAAAAGAGTTTATGCAATTCTACGGCTGTTACCCGATGTCTCTACCTGCTCAAGTTTTTCCTTTGAGGCCGTTCAAAAGTGAATATTACATTTCCCCGAAACCTGGGTCATTGCCATGAACTGGAGGTCCCCTCTTTGTTTCATGCTTAAACTGAACTACTGTTGGTTCTTTTCATGAAAAACTCATGAAAAAAGTTTTAATGTCGATGATTTAGCCCGATTAATGGTTTAAACACCAATAGACGGTGAAATCACCGCTGCTTGCCTCACGTATTTACATCTTTTTACCGGTTCTCCTGTAACTCATGCGTCGAAATAAGTGACACAATCAGACTCAGCGCATCACATGGTCATAAAAACCGCAATTATGTTTCATTCGACCACTTGGTCGGCTTATTGGCGGTTTTGAAGGGAATCTGATCCACTGTGCGTTGGTTAAATTTTCATTAGCAGAACTGCACTATCGGCATCTTAGCCAATGATGCACACTGGTCGATAAGAGGTGCGCGGGGGTGAATTCGAAACTTGCAGTTGGCGGCTTACACCTGCTTGGTGTTGCTCTGAGCGTCACGTTTACGCGCCACTTTAAGTTGCTTTTTGTTTTAGGCGACGCTATACTGGCGCATTGCGTGAGATTGTCTTCAGACACTGAGGCATCAAATAACTCGAGAGTGGAACTGAAGGGTGCTGGATGCTTGGATGGAAGGGATGCATGGATGACGTTAGGAAACCCGGCAGCCGAAGACCTGGTCGGTGTGCACGATTCGAGACGACAAATTGTGCACCAGAAGAAAAAACTGTTGGTATAAATGGGAACCAGGACTTTGCTCAACGGTTATACATGAATCAAAAAGTGGGTACATAGGCATCGGGCGGCCAGGACGCACGGGAATCACAATGTTGGGACATCGTCGGTGGCATCAGGTCTAGCAAAGGGCCTAAGGAAGCAAGGATCCAACAGCTTAACAGCGAGGTAATGTCATATTTTCTTGGGCAAGTGAGATCTCTACTTTTACAACAAGGGAGCGTCCGAATTGTTGTGGGAAGGCGAGCTTTCTAAAGCCTCGCACCTATAGCAACTAAATACTCAGTGAACTGCATGCTGCGTGCGAACTAAACCATTTGATAGAGTAAATTTAAATGCACGTTGGGGCATGCCCAGTGTAAACGTCGCACGACTTTGTATTCACTATCATGTAAAGCGGAAAAGTAAAATGTACAAACCCAGCAAAAGCCTCCCCTTTACGTGTGCGTGCGGACTTCCCACAAACGCGACAGGAACCGCCACAGTTAGGGACGTACTCAGCAGGTGGAGCCCACGCGCCGGCTCCCTGCGAGCTCCGCCAACGGATCGGTACCTGGCAGGCCGACGAACAGCAGCAGCAGCAGCAGCAGGGCGGACCGCACCATCACGCCGCGGAGCCGGGCCCCAGCCGACGGCGGTCCTCGCTACGACACGGCGGACGGCGGCCTCCCTGGCCTCACTCCGCGCCCCCGGGCCAGCGGTCTCTCGACCTCCGTCCGCGCCCCCGGCCCAGCGGTCTCTCTGACCTCACTCCGCGCCCCCGGGCCCCGGACGCTCCCAGCGCCTGCTCGCCGCGTGCGGAGGAGGCCAGCCGCTGCGCCGGCCAGCGCGAGCCGCGTGACTCTGCGCGGGCGGGCGCCGGTGCCGGGCCGCGACGCCCGTGCCTTGCGCTTCCGGCCGATATGGACCGGAAGTGAGTGTGTGACAGTGACGGCACTGGGATCGGGCCGAATCAGTGGGATCGGCCGAGGTCGGACCAGACGTCACCACGCGCCGTGGCGCGCACAAGGGCGGCGAGAGTCGTGACGTAAAG